GTTTGAAACACAAAAGATTGTTGTTGTTTTTTCACTGAATTTTAAAAAATTATGATCCTACACCACTATCCTCTGGTAGTCACAGGAGCAGACCGATGAAAGCCACTGATTATCAATAATAAAATAATCAATCCTAGAATAGGTATGGTGGACCTGTGAGAAAACTGAGTTTGGACTGAGACAGTGCCAGGTGTCAAAGACACCACAATTAGGCAGACAGGACTGAACAAATGATGGAGATTTACTTAAAGTTATGGGGTTGGGGAGCCAACACTTAAGATCCCCACCCTGTATTAGAGAGTATGAGCTCAGATCAGGCAATAAAGAGAAAATGCACTCAATATTATCCACATTGGGGGTATATACATTGGCCAGTATCACCTTGGTATTGTAGAGTTTGCTCAAGACAAAGACATGCCAACCATCAGAAATGACCTTGTGTGTTTCAAAACAAACATCTTGATTGATGAGGACTAATAAACCCCTGGCTAGTACAAAAATATTCAAAAAAAATTAACAACACAAGCGGTTTCTTTCTCTGGTGCATGTTATTTACACATACCTACTCCGATCTTCACAGTAGTGGAAGATCGCTTCCTTTGTGATGAGCCTGTTAGTCTTCCTCATCTCCAGTAGCACCCCCATCATCCACTCCTCCACTCTGCCCTCCACTGGGACAGGCTGTCTTAGTTCCATCACCTCACCCTCAGCAGACACCATGGCTCCAACTACTGTCTCTCCATTGCTATCCACGTCAAATCTCAGAGATGCTATGTTGTCATACATCTTATGAGACAAAAGAAAAAACACACATTGGAAACAGTGAGCCGCCCTAACTATACTTGGAAAAATTAAGGTCTTGTCTACCACTCCACCATCGCTTGTACTTGCCAAATACCTTGATCATATGTTCCTGGACACAGGTATGGTCACTACTCCCCAGAATGCTGAGCAGTTCATCATCAGAGATGAAGAAGAAGCGAGGAAATGCATGTCGCTTTGAGTCCAGGTAATCATTAAGACTCTTCTGGCATCTCTCTAAACCATCACTCAGGGCCTGCAGGTCTGTTAGCCGGTTCGGAACCAGGCAACAGCGCTTAATGTTTGGATTCCTCACTGTGTCATTCATTATCTACAGAAACAAAGAGAGATGTAATTTTGACAAGTCTAGAAGAAAGTACTTTAATTTTTTAAGACCAATATTATAGCAACACTTACGTCTTTAAACCTTTTGTCAATGTTATCAAATTTCTTTGCTTCCTCAGGTAACTGCAAGCGAATGTCTCCTCCTATAAATATGCTCTCCAAGTACATCCATTTTCTCTGCACGAGCAACCAGACCTGTGAAAGATGTATTTTTTTTCCTATAAGTATTTTGTGGATCAGCCTAAGGGTGAAGGAAAATTTGGCCAGTCTTACTCACCTCAATAGTCTCAGAAATAAGAGACAGATTTTTTTCCCACTGCTGTATGGTACCAAGGAAGGGTCCAACAAAGCGGCTGCCAGCCATGCTCTGTAAGTTCATGGCATCATTGTCCACATTCAGCAGGATCTCATCCACTGCACCCAGAATGGAGCCACGTTCCTGAGTGCCTTTGAAATAGGGCTGAACATTGAACTTCATGTTTTCCCAGGTCTCTACCACTCCTTTTACTCCCTGGAACCAGATACAGATAACATGTTTTAGAAGTAACTGTCATTTCCCTGATGAACTGATAGAACTGGCAGATTATTCCATTTTGAGAATGTTTTTAAAAAAAGAGAGAACCTGCCTTCTCAATACCAAGCTCTTTTACAGCCGAGGTGACAATGTCGCCTATGACATCTGCATATTTGTGCAACTCCATAGCAAACATGTTCTCCAGTGTGAAGCTTTCAGGGTTGATCTCAAAGCTGGTGCCAGTCCTTTCCATCAGTTCCTTCCAGTGCCTTGAATATAAAGACATTTTTATTCTCAGTTTTTTTGTTTTATCTGGACATAGATAATTTGAACACATGACGTCAAAAGTTTACATCTAAATAAGTAGAGTATTAAATACTCTACTTATTGTCAATATTATGCGTATTGCAGAACAATC